AAGAAGAGAGAGAAGAGGAAGCAACGGTGAAGTTTGATGTCGGAGGTGGCGGAAGAAACAAAGGCATCACCAGCGATAGGAATGGGGTCATTGGCAGTAATGACAATGGTAGTGGCCGGCAGAGATTTTGGTGAAAAGTTAGGGGTAAGAAATTAGGGTTAGAGTTTGGAAAGGTCTTTTTAGTAATTTTAGACAGGGATAAAAGTGTAATAATTTGTTTTGAAAATATAAGGTGTAATGAGTTGTTTTTGTTGCCTAAGTAGAATTTCTCTTACATTCACCTCTCATGATTTAAAATATATATATGTATATATAATTGGTTCTACACTTTTGAGATAATTACACTAATATCTTTTAAGATTTTAATTAACATAACAATTAGGCACATTTTTAATCAATAACCTATTAGTCATATGAATAAATAAATAAATAATATGCTATCATCTTTTTTCCACTAAAATGCATATTATCTTTATTTATTTTAGTTTCTACCCACTATTTACATTAGTTTCGATCGTTTAGTCTTACTAAAAGAAAGGTTAGTGTAATTATGTAAAAAATATCGAGTAATTTGTGGAGTGAAATGCTTTGGGCGTAACACCTCTCCCACTAAAGGGGAGAACGGTTGAGATCTTCACTCACCAAACCGATGTCATTTTGGTGAGGGAAAACCAAAAAGATAAATAAATTATTTATTATCGAAATGCAAGAGAGAGAGAGAGAGAAAGAGAAAGAGAGAGAGAAGCTCATCATCCTTGGCATCATTGGGGCATCCCCAGCCAACCTCTTCTTCTCATCCTCCTTCTTTCCGTCGTCCGTCATCTGCCATCCGCCATCCGCCACCCCATCCTTTTCTCTTTTTCATCCCCTTCTTCTTCTTCTTACTCCTCTCCTACAACCCTCATCGCTAGTGGGCCTTCATCTCCAGCCAACCTCTTCCTCATTTCCTTCTCTTTCCATTCGCGGGCATTGTCTCATCTTGATCTTCCTCTTCCTCTTCCTCTTCCTCATTCTTTTCTTTTTCTTCTGTTGATCACAACCAACCTCACCTAGATTGCGACCCAACGCTACTACCATCACTGTCTACTATTGCTGCCATTACCACTCTAAAAATCATAGATCTAGGGTTCAAGTTTCAAAAGAATAGGAGAAGAAGAGAACAAGCAGACGGGGGAGAAAAGGGAGAGAAGGGTTTCGGGAGTCCCACCACCTACATCGCCATTGCCATCACTGCTCTCTAAAAACCCTAGATCTAGGGTTAGAGTTTTGGAAGAAGAGGAGGAAGATGAGAAAGAATAAGAAGAAGATGATGATGAAGAAAAAGAAAAAAATGAGGATGAGGAAAGAAAGAGACGGTGGATGATAGATGACGGACGACAGAAAGAAGGAGGATGAGAGGAAGAGGCTGGCTGGAAATGGCCCAGTAGTACCAGCGAGAATGAGCTTCTCTCTCTCTCTCTCCCTCTCTCTCGCATTTCGATCTGAAATAAAGAAATTTTTTTATGTGGTTTTCTTTACCAAAACAACATCATTTTGAAAAGGGAAGATCTCAGCCATTCGCTCTTTTCGTTGGGACAAGTGTCGTGCCCAAACCAATTCACTCCACCAATTCACTCTAGAGGATCCTTGCACGTCAAAAACATAAGAGAAGGGCCAATAAATATGAAAATCAAGGGTAAATTTGGAAAGTAAAATATATATACATATATATATATATATATATTTGTTTTCACATGTTATTTTTATCTATTTATAGCACCAAAGTACTGAACAAAATATAATTTGGGTAAATTACATTCACTTCTCATGAATTTTAAAATATATATATATATATATAATTAGTTTCACACTTTTGAAATAATTATGCTGACCTTCTTTGAGATTTTAATTAACATAACAATTAGGCTTATAACAATTAAGCTTAATCAATAATTTATTAGTATGTTATCATCTTTTTTCTAATAAAATGTATATTACCTTTATTTATTTTACTTTCTATCCACTATTTACATTAGTTTCGATCATCTTAGTCTTACAAAAATGGAGGCCAATGTAATTATGTAAAAAAATGTGAGAGTAACTGTTTTTTTTCAAACCTGAGGGGGAAGTGAGAGTAATTTACCCATATAATTTATTTTGAGTAAATTACTATAGCGACCCCGGGTCTAAACCCGACTGTCATGGTATTCTGGATTTGAATCTTGTTGTTTGATGCTGCCGGTTGTGTCTTTCTTCCTTACATCTTTTGAATTTAAGTTTTGGAATGACTTGAGCGTGTTTAGAACAGGTTGGTTGCCTTTCGGTCTAGAATCTTGTTGCCCAGAATTTCGGTCTTTCGCTTGAGCGGGCCTTCTTGCGCTCGAGCGGAGTTTGTCATCTTTCAGTATCAGGTGTCTCTGCAAAAGTGCTGCAAGAGTGTTTTTCACGCTCGAGCGACGTTTCTTACGCTCGAGCGTGTCTGGGCTCGAGCGGCCCTTATGGCGCTCGAGCGATCATCTACTATCTTTGAAATACTGGACGGGTGAAATCTACGCTCGAGCAGTTCTCATTGCGCTTGAGCGAGTTGTTGTTGTTGTGTCTGACGCTCGAACGTGAAACTATCCGCTCGAGCGGACTTCGCATATATCAGATCGTAAAAGTGACTTTTTACATGACTTTTTCATCTCTTTTTCATCCAAACCCTAAGTTGAGAGCTTCTCTCTCTAGAGATACTCTCTCTCTCTCTATATATATATATATATATATATATTTTACCTAGATCTAATGATCTTCTCACCCTTCTTCCTTAGACAAAAAGATTGAGCTCTTCAAGATCTTCATTTATATCCAAGAAGAAGTGAGTTTGGCCATTGTTGGAAGCTTCACCTTTGTCTAGCCCTTCTCCTTGGACTTCTACTTTGAGGTAGGGAATTCTAGAGTTATATATATATATATATATATGTTTTGCTACAAAATGTTGAATTTAAGTTGCTTTGATGTTGTTGTGTTAGTCTTAAATTTTGCACTAAATGAAAAGAGAGAAAGAGGGTTTTCAAATTGGGTTTCTAAAATTTCAAATTATTTTGTTCTTCCTAAGGGACTCTCTTTCTATTTGACTCATAAGATGTGATTTGGGTTGGTCTTCACCTTAAAATGGTTAAATGTTAGATTTTTGATAAAAGCCCTAGAAATTGGGGGATTTTGAAAACACATGGAAATATTTATGAAATGCCTTACTGTTTTGTATTTATGATAATGGGTGAGATGATATTATTGCAAAGTTGTTAAAAATGTTGAAAGATTATGTTGTTGGGAGTGATGAATGATTTTGTATCATATTTACGAAACTTCGTAAGATCTTGGAATTGCGTTGAGAACATTGTTTGCCTTGAGGGGATTATTGTTGTAAATTGTTGTTATGAGGAATGGTGAGCACATGAGGCATTTTGTGAAATGACTTGAAGGGAAGAAATGAGAAATGATTAATTGATATTGTTGTAGAGATATTTTGAGAATGGTAAATTATTGCATCATATTTCAATTTACTATTATCATTGTGCACCTTGACATGTTTTGGAAAGACATTTATAATGAGAATGATGGAAATGTGTAAAAGGTAAATACGTTGGTAAGTCCGGATAGGAGGTGTAGATGAATTTGATAAGTTGGCCTGAGTGTCCAAGGTGAAAGACCCAAAAGTCGCACGGATAGGTGTCGAGCCTTCCATTTAATACCGGTAAAAATGACAGTTTTGTAGTACTCGTAGAGTCTACTTGCAGACATCGGCCTAAGGAATTACCAGTGTCGTATTTACCGCCCCTGTTGATTAATGATTGGAAGTTTTGGTAAAAATGTTGAGCTTTGTAAATAAATGTTGGGAAGATAGAACTTTTAAATGTGCATGAAATGGACTTTCTTACAAAGGTGCATGGCATGGCATTAGCAATTGCATTGTTTTAAAGAGTATGCATAACTGTATATACTTTGTAAGAATTCTCTACTGGGCTTTGTGCTCACCCCTATGGGTTTTGTTGTAGGTAAAGATGTGGTAATCCCGCCAAACTGAGGGCGTGGATATTTTGAGAAGAGTACTTTACTCTTTTATTTTTATTTTTTTTGTGATATTCTTTTAAGCCAAGGGCTAATGTGTATGGGTTGCAGAAACCATTTTTGTGTGACCAGGCTTATGCCTTGGAAGATGTAAGCCCTTAAGGGCATTGTATTGTTTTGAGAGTGGATGCTTTACATGCTATAGATTCATATGTTTTGTATCGATGAATGTATACCTGCATGTAAAACCTTTGTAAGGACTCTTCATTAATTATGTAAAGATAGGCAGATTATTGTTATTGTTGAGTAAATGTTGATTACTTGTGGGTAGTTCATGTCAAATTATTTCGGGTCGTTACAACTTGGTATCAGAGCAACCGGGTTTGAATACTTGGGGCTCGCGGGAAGTGGTCGTTATACCACAATGGGTTCATTTCGCATGACTAGGAAATATTTTGTTTTTTTTGTGATTATGTGACAGCATGTTTATGTGACTATATGGGTATGGGATTAAACTTTTGGGATGTTATTTGTGCCTATTAGTTTCCTTGAGGTCTTATTAGAAGGGTACTTGATCAATACTCATTCTAATAAGAATTCTTGGTTTCTCATGGGACAAATTTCATCACTAAAGGATAATTCGTATATGTTTATGTGACTAAGGTGCTTATGTGGAGTTAATTAAATTGTTTGTGTAGTAGGATATATGTGGTGGCTTTAGCCTAACGTGGGAAGTTAGTGGCGAGCACATTTGAAATCATGTGCTTAATTATTTCCCTTATCTCTCAATTAGGATATTAGGAAGAGTTCGAACTTGAGGTGGTAGGGGTGGAAGGCAAGGTCGAGGTTGTCGGGGTGTGTTCGAGGTGCCGGTCCAAGAGGTCTCGGTACAAGAAGAGGGTTTAGGGCAAGCCGACATGGCCGAACAAGTGGAGCAAGCGGAAGTGCTGGGGCAAGCCGGCCAAGCCGCAATGGGGGCCCTGGCCCGGGAGATGGCGGCGACTTTGAGGGAGTTCATGAACATTTTACGGGCAGAGACCCAAGCGAGGGAGAATGTTGCGGAGACTAGAGCTAGCTTCCTCAGGAGGAAGTTTTTAAGGGCCAAGCCGGATGAGTTCCATGGCGGCCCCGATCCAAGGAAGGCGGACAAATGGTTGGAACAAACTGTGAAGACCTTTGATATGCTTCACATAGAGGATGGGGAGTTGAGGGTGACCCTTGCTAGTTATTACCTCAAAGGTGACGCTGGCCAATGGTGGAAGTATGCAAAGGGCTGAATAACACCAACATGGGAGGCGTTTGTAGGGGCTTTCCAGGACAAGTACCTACCACCCACTGCTAGGGAGAGGTTGAGGCAGGAGTTCAAGGACCTTAAGCAACTGAACATGTCAGTGGCCGAGTTTGAAGCGGCCTTTTCCAATTTGTCCCGGTTTGCACCAGAATTGGTAGCGACGGAGAAGCGTCGTTGCTTCGAGTTTGAGCAAAGGTTGAGAACCAAGATCTTGTATAAGGTAGCCGGGAACATGGTCCATGAGTATGATCACCTTGTGGAGGTGGCTGCACATGTGGAGATTACTGTGGAGGCCGAGGAGGAGAGGCAATGGAACTCGAGGTCTAGGGGCCAAGGATCTTAGGGGGACTATAAGCCCAACAAGAAGAGTAAGAGTACTTTTTCATCTCAGTTCCAGCCACAGCAGTCTAGATCCACCTTTCCCTTGCCTAGTACGGGCTCGGGAAGGAGTACACCGAGTGGGTTTTCTTGTTTCAAATGTGGCCACCCGGGTCACAAGGCCTTTGCGTGTCCGCAGAAGGGAGGAGGACAGCAGATGTTGCCACCACCACCACCTAACCAATCCCAGAGCCAGTCCCAGTCTCAGAGTAGGGGGCAGGGACCTACTTATTTCCAGTGTGGTTAGTCAGGGCACATGAAGAGAGCTTGCCCACAGTTGGGAGGCGCATCTGGCACATCCGGGTCGAGGCAGACCTAGAGTCATCAGCAGACCCATTCAGTCCAGACTTTGAGAGTCCACCAGAGAGCCATTTCGGCTCAGTCAGTACAGCAGGCCCATGCTCAGAGGGATGAGCAGGTTAACCAGAGGCCACAGGGGCGCGTGTATGCTGTTGCAGCGCCAGAGCAATTGCCAGGACCTTCGGTTGTGAGAGCTATATTTATTGTGTGTAATTCTTTGGCCAATGTGTTGATAGATACGGGTGCATCTTATTCATTCATATCTACTGCATTCGCATCTGCATTGGGCTTAGAGATAGTACAGTTAGTGTCTCCACTCAGAGTTGAGTCACCAGTCGGGGGTACAGTTGACTTAGACCGGGGGTGTCTTGACTGTGAGATAGAGGTTGTCGGGCGTAGACTCCCGTTTGCTTTTGTGTTTTTAGACATGTCAAGTTTTGATGTCATCCTGGGCATGGATTGGTTGTCTTCGTATCGGGCGGTGATAGATTGTTTTTGTCGGAGGGTCACAGTATGCACCTCGGGTAGGGATTGTTTTTATTTTCTAGGAGACAAGGTTGATCGGAGGTTGTCGCCGTTGTATGACCCAGGAAGTCGAGGCAAACTTAGTTTTCCTCTTGACTCTTCTAGATAGTGAGAGTGACAGGACTCGAGTTGAGTTGCCAAGGGTAGTGTGGGAATACCCGGATGTGTTTCTCGAGGACCTTACCAGTTTGCCACCCCACCGGGAGGTTAAGTTCACCATCGACTTAGTACCGGGAACGACACCAATTTCTATGGCGCCATATAAATTTACACCTGCGGAGTTGCATGAGTTGAAGATTCAACTCCAAGAGCTTTTAGATAAGGGCTTCATTCGCCCTAGTACGTCACCATGGGGAGCGCCGGCTCTCTTTGAGAAGAAGAAGGACGGGTCGTTATGGTTGTGTATCGACTCCGCAAGTTGAACCGAGTCACTGTCAAGAACAAATACCCTTTACCCAGGATAGACGACTTGTTTGATCAACTTAGAGGGTCTTGTTGCTTTTCAAAGATAGACTTGAGGTTGGGGTACCATCAATTGAGAGTCCGGGAAGAGGACATCCAGAAAACAGCCTTTCGTACGCATTATGGCCACTACGAGTTCCTAGTAATGCCATTTGGGTTGACTAACGCACCGGCTTCTTTTATGGATTTGATGAACCGAATATTTGGGGAGTACTTGGATCGTTTTGTGGTCATCTTCATGGACGATATTCTTATCTATTCGACCTCCGAGGAGGAATATGAGACTCATTTGAGGATTGTGCTTGACTTGCTTAGGGAGCATCAGTTGTATGCCAAATTTGAGAAGTGTGAGTTTTGGCTCACCGAGGTGAAAGTTTTGGGCCACGTCGTGTCAAGAGAAGGAGTAACAGTAGATTTCTCGAAGATAGATTCTGTGCAAGATTGGGAGCAACCTAAGAATGTCTTTGAGATTCGGAGTTTCTTGGGGTTGGCGGGATACTATTGCCGATTTGTAAGAGATTTCTCAAGATTAGCTGCGCCTTTGACTAGATTGAGTAGAAAAGGGGTTAAATTTGTGTGGAGTGAGACTTGTGAGAAATCCTTCCAGGAGCTCAAAACTAGATTGACCACAGCACCGATATTGATCATTCCGGAGAGAGGACTGGGGTATACTGTCTTTTGTGATGCATCTCGAGATGGGCTTGGTTGTGTTTTGATGCAAGAGGGAAAGGTTGTAGCGTATGGCTCCCGACAGTTGAAAACTCATAAGAAGAATTACCCTACCCATGACATAGAATTAGCCGCAGTAGTCTTTGCCTTGAAGATTTGGAGGCATTATTTGTATGGCGAGAAGTTTGAGGTTTTCTCCGACCATAAGAGCTTGAGATATTTGTTTTCCCAAAAAGATTTAAATTTGCGTCATCGGAGGTGGATGGAATTTTTAGAAGACTATGATTTTGAGTTACACTATCACCCGGGGAAGGCCAATGTAGTGGCTGACGACTTAAGCCGAAAAAATGTGAGTAGTTTGGTGAGTGTGGCCATTCGGGAGTGGGGTATGTTGGGTGAAGTTGGCAAGTTTGAATTGCAATTGAATGAGTTCGAAGGGGGTGCAACATTGTTTAGTATGACTGCTCAACTTGTTTTGATTAGCAAAGTTATAAAAGCATAACAAGGGGATCGGGAAGTAGAGTTAATTCAGGATAGGATCTCTAACGGGAAGGAAGAGAAGGGTTTGAATATTCACTCGGATCAGAGTATACGCTATCTAGACCGTTTATTTGTGCCTGAATCTTGTAGAGAGGAAGTGCTTCGGGAATTCCATCACTCACGCCTTATGGTACATCCGGGAGGTACCAAAATGTATCGAGACCTTAGCCATCAGTTTTGGTGGAGGGGTATGAAACGGGATGTCGCGTCCTTTGTGTCCAAGTGCCTTACTTGTCAACAAGTGAAGGCCGAACACCAGAGACCAGCGGGTTTGTTACAACCCTTACCAATAGTCGAGTGAAAGTGGGAACACGTGACCATGGACTTTGTAGTTGAGCTTCCTAGAACGCAGCGGGGCAATGATGCCATTTGGGTAATTGTTGATAGGTTGACTAAGTCCACACACTTCATTCCTATACGAACTAGCGACTCAGTTGAGCACCTGGCGGAGTTGTATGTTAGGGAGATAGTTCAGCTTCATGGAGTGCCGGTCACCATTGTATCGGATAGAAATCCTCGTTTTACCACCCGGCTGTGGCAAAGCCTTCAAGAGGCATTGGGAACCAAGTTAACCTTTAGCACTGCTTATCACCCTCAAACTGATGGGCAGTCGGAACACGCCATTCAGATTTTAGATGACATGCATAGAGCTTGTGTCCTAGATTTCAAGAGGTCTTGGGAGAGGCATTTACCGTTGATCGAATTCGCCTACAACAACAGTTATCAGGCTAGCATTGAGATGGCACCGTTTGAGGCCTTGTATGGCCGACCTTGTAGGTCACTCGTTTGTTGGGCCGAGATAGGTGATGCACCGTTGTTGGGACCCGAGATTGTTAGGGAAACTACCGAGAAAGTTGCTCTCATTCGGAAGAGATTAGCCACGGCTCAAAGCCGACAAAAGAGTTACGCCGATATGAGGAGGCGACCCTTATCCTTTGATGTGGGTGATCACGTGTTTCTTAAGATCTCTCCTAGGGGAGGTTTAATGAGGTTTGGCAAGAGCGGGAAGTTGTCTCCAAGGTTCATTGGGCCTTTCGAGATATTGGAGAGAATCGGAGAAGTGGCATATCGATTAGCTTTACCGCCACAACTTTCTGGGATTCACAATGTGTTTCATGTGTCCATGCTTAGGAAGTACGAACCCGACCCTTCTCATGTGTTAGATTGGATCGAATTAGAGGTGGATGAGGATGCCTTCTACGAAGAGCGACCGGTTCAAATTCTAGATACTCGGGAACAAGTATTACGAGGCAAAACCATACCATTAGTGAAGGTGTTGTGGAGGCACCTTGGGTCGAGGAAGCAACTTGGGAAAGGGAGGCAGAAGTCCGCTCCAAGTATCCGGATTTGTTTGAACATGTTTAGTTGATTTGATTTAAATTGTAATGTTTCCTTATGGTAAGTGGGTAATGTGTTAAATTAATGATCAAAGGTTGTTGTATGTGTTGTCAAATTGAGTATGAGGTCGTGTAGACATGATGTTTTGCTATGGATGCCTTATTTTATATGTCTTGTATAAGCATGTATGATTTTGATGAAATGATGATGAAAGGAACGATAAATGATAATCGAATATAAATGTTACGACTTGAGAATGTGGTCAAATTGATTAAAATTGCTACAACTTTGGTTTGGTGTCTTGTCTAAATTTCGAGGACAAAATTTCCTATGGTGGGGAGGTTATAGCGACCCTGGGTCTCTACCCGACTGTCACGGTATTCTGGATTCGAACCTTGTTGTTTGATGCTGCCCGTTGTGTCTTTCTTCCTTACATCTTTTGAATTTGAGTTTTGGAATGAATTGAGCATGTTTAGAATAGGTTGGTTGCCTTTCGATTTAGAATCTTGTTACCCAGAATTTCGGTCTTCCGCTCTAGCGGGCCTTCTTACGCTTGAGCGGAGTTTGTCATCTTTCAGTATCGGGTGTCTCTGCAAAAGTGCTGCAAGAGTGTTTTTTACGCTCGAGTGTGTCTGGGCTCGAGCGGTCCTTATGGCGCTCGAGCGGCTGTCTGCTCTCTGTGAAATACTGGACGGGTGAAATCCACACTCGAGCAGTTCTCTTGGCGCTCGAGTGAGTTATTGTTGTTGTGTCTGATGCTCGAGCGTGAAACTATCCGCTCAAGCGGACTTCACATATATCAGATCGTAAAAGTGACTTTTTACATAACTTTTTCATCTCTTTTTCATCCAAACCCTAAGTTGAGAGCTTCTCTCTCTAGAGATACTCTCTCTCTATATATATATATATATTTGACCTAGATCTAGTGATCTTCTCACCCTCCTTCCTTAGACAAAAAGATTGAGCTCTTCAAGATCTTCATTTCTATCCAAGAAGAAGTGGGTTTGGCCATTGTTGGAAGCTTCACCTTTGTCTAGCCCTTCTCCTTGAACTTCTACTTTGAGGTAGGGAATTCTAGAGTTATATATATATATATATATATATGTTTTGCTACAAAATGTTGAATTTAAG